TCCTCCTCATTCAATTCTCGAGTTTTTAAAAAAATTGTCAGAGGCTGTGTGCACTCACCAGAGAGAGAGGGGGAGGGGGAGATAGCACCCCCAGGGGCACGTGGTCGGTCAGGCTGCAATGTCTCCTCCCTTTCTCCATTTACCAGGATTTGGGGTACGCACACACATGCTCCCAGCATGCTCTTCAAGTCGCCAGGGCCAGGGTTCAAACCATGGTCGGCCATGTGGGATCTGACTCTCTTACCCTAGGGCGGTGGGCCTGACCCTTCCAATTCACCTTCAAAGGGCCTCTCATATGCAGACCTTGTAAGCAGGGGGAATCAGATCTATTGAAGTTCCTGCTCCTATGCAGATTTTAATGACAATTTAATAAGGAGGGATAAAACATTAAAAATTGGGGTAAAGTTTAAAGAAATAAAAACCACAAATAAGTGCTATGCTTTGAATGTGTCCCCCAAAGGTTGGTGTGCTGGAAACTTGACTGCCATTATCATGGTTTTAAGAGGGGGCTCCATCCGACTATGGCATTAAAAGGTGGGAGGGGCAGCAGGTGGATGGTGGCTAAAGCACTGGACTCCCATATGGCTGACCACAGTGCGAGTCCCAGACCAGTGACTTAAAAATCACACTGGGCACGTGTGTGTGTGCACCCCAAATCGCAAGAGGGCATGGCCATCCCCCCCCAGGGAGATGATTTCTCACTTTCCTTCTCTCTGTATCTCTCTAGAGAGCGCACACACCCTATGGCAAACCCCACAAAGAAGTGGGGTGTAGGGGAGGTAATTAGGGTAAATAAGGCCATCAGTGTGAGGCCCCCAGGACTGAATCCTGGGGGCTGTAGAAGATGGAGAGGGACCAGAGCCAGCACACTCTTGCCCTCTCGCCATGCGGTGCCCGCGCCACCTTGGAACTCTGCAGGAGTGTCGCAGCAAGAAGACCCTCACCAGGTGCAGCCCCCGACATGGACTTCGGAAACCATGAGCTCGGGGCTCAACAGAGCTCTATTTTATAAGTTACCCAGTCTGTGCAACTCTGTTCTGGCAAGAGAAAACCAGAGCGAGAAGCAAACCGTGAGGAGGCGGGCCCTGGGCTCAGTGCCCCTGCTTCTCCTCCTCCTCTTCCCCATTGTTCCCTCTCTGTCATTGTTCTCCCTCTGTCATCCTTTCAATCATTCAGTTATTCGTTTAATAACGGGGGTGAGTATGACTTAGGCCCCCATCCGGCCAAATGATTCAGTGGCTGACACCCCTTGGGGTTGCAAAAGCACAGGCCAAGCCCCTGCCAGTCACATCCCTACCCCACCCCCTGCTCCTGGCCTGGCCCTGCGAGGGGCCTCCAGGGGCGCAAGCAGGTCAGTGAGGCTCCCCCTGGGCCTTTGAGCTGTCACCCTCTGTGGTGGCTGGCGGAAGGCCCTGGGCTCCTGGCCTGGTGGCTGATGCACAGAGCCATCCACAGACACTGCGGGCTGCACCCCTCTTGCCCGGAGCTCTGCTGGGTGATTGATGGGGCCGCTCCGGCTCTCGGTCCCAGAGAGCTCCTTTGAATAATAACTTGGCAAAATTACTCTCCTTTTTTTGCTTTCCCTATTTCTGATCCATTTGCTCTCTCTAAGTCATTCATCTCTTTTGAGTTGAAGAAGAAAGAGGGAGAACAATGAGGAAGAGGAGGAGAAGCAGGGGAGCAGGAGACCGCGCGCCCGCCTCCTCGTTTGACAGGAGCTGGGAGCCTCTGCGCCAGCCCTCGCTGCGGCTGTCAGGCGGTCGCACCCCTGCTACTAGGACTTACATGTTAACTTCCCTAGTTGTGCGATAAAGGTGTGTGTGGGAGGGTGTTTGGGGGGGGGAGGCAGGAGACTTCCCAGGGCCCCCACATTGCCCCGCAACCGCAGGTGCTCATTGACCCGCCTGAAACGCTGTCCTGCCTGCCAGGACGTTAGAATTCCCATCCTGAGAGGGGAGCAGCAGAGGAGGCAGGGGAGGAGCGCAGTGGAGGTTCACGGGCATGGCATCAGCCGTGTCCACTGCCAACACCCACCTTGCTCGGCAGGCACCACAGAGACGGTGAGTGACACCCCGAGAGAGGAGTCCGCAGACGATGAGCTAAACATGAGGCCGGGCGAGACCACGTCGGAAGTGGGTACCTACGATGCAATCTGACGGAGGCGGCTGTCGGCTCTGCGATGGGAGGGACTGACTGACTGCAAGTCTCTACGGTGGGCTGATAACCAGCTGTTCTGAGGGTGGTGAAGGTGCTTCAGATGACCAGCTCTGTAGAGGTGCGGGCTGAAGGTGCTAAGCTGGGCGGGTTTGGAGCTCGACGACAGGGGGAAACTCCAGCAAACATGCGAGGGGGCAGGGCAGAGGATTACGCTGGAAGAAATGATACACACGGATCTGGGCTGGCTCGGTGGTGCAGCAGTGACGTGTTGCTGGAGGGATGCTGGATTCACATGGAAGGTTACAGGTTCGACTCCCTGGTTGGCCTTTGTACACCTATGATCCCTGCTGACTGAGAGGGCTGGGGGGTGGGACGTATTTGCAGCCTGGGACCCTGTGGGGGTCTCTCTAGGAGATATGATAAGCTGTAATGTGACCACAGTAGGTCTTACTGGAGTGCTTGTGTGGGGGAGGCCATGCCCCCGAGGCGGGAGTCAGGTGGCTGCAGCAGGGAGGTGTGATCAGACCAGCTGCAGAATGCAGGATGGACTCATGCCGGCAAGGCTGGAGAAAGCAAACCAGGCAGCAGGAGCTGGGATGGGCTCGTCAGGCAGAGAGTGATGTAAGAACCGAGCCAAGGCAGGGCCAGGGAGGAAGCGATGGCTTTGAGAAGCACTTAGAGCGTCACGTTGACAGGGCCAGGGACTGACAGGGAGAGGCTGGGAGGTGGTGGTGCCACCAGCTGGAACAGGGAGCATGGCGGCAGGAACCTTCATGAAGCCCCGCCAGGCCCCGGGGGGGGGGGGCCCCCCTTCCAGCCACGGGCACGCAGGGACAGATCACTCATCCGTCTTGAACCTGCATCAGGGTTAGGCAAAGCCAAGCCTGCCTGGCACGCATTAACTCGTGTGCAGCCACATTTAGGGGAATCTCAGACTCCTATTTTACTTTTCTTTCCTGGTATGCTAGGGCTCACCACCTGCTTGTCTCTTGCTCCTTCTTCCCTCTGACAGGCGAGACCCACGCGCCTAGGATGGTGGAAGACGGCCCCGTGTGTCCGTGCGAGGACTGAGGCCGCCGTTCGGGGCGTCGCTGCCTGGTACGATTAGGATGCTGGAGCTTCCTCCCGCGTCTAGTCTCCTTCCAGTCATCTCTGCCATTCAGCCCGAGTATTGTTCCCCCTGGGATGAATTTCCTCATAAAATAAATGTCTTGTCTGAATTAATCTTATTTTTTTAAAGGAGAGAGTCATCAGATTGTAAAGACATCATAAAAAGACGCATCAATCTGCCAGAGGCCTGGGTGCTGGGAGCGTCTGTCTTGTGCAGACTGTGCCGAGGCGGCTGGGCCCCGAGGCTGGGCGGTGCTGGGCATCGCCCCTGTGCACACCTTCTCCCACACCCCGGGCTGGCGGGCGCTCGGACCAGCCTCAGGCCTGGAGGGGTCCCTCATTGGAGCACTTAGACCATTTAGGGCGGGCAGCTTTGCACGCTGAGTGTGCACCACGTGGTACCTGCCTTGTGAAGGGGCCACTGAGTGACCCCCAGCTGGAGGGCCACCCTCGGCTGACGTCAGGAACACTTTCACCTGAGAACTAAGCCGCATTAGGAACCGCGGACGGCATCGCAGGCCACCTCTGCACTTTTGTATTCCTTTGAAAGCATTACACGAGTCGTACACATGTACACAGAGAACAGGTAAAGCATCGGGGGCTGGCATGTGGATTGTGGTCAAGGCGCAGGACTCCCACATAGCCAACTGTGGTCCAGACCTTGAACACAGCAGCATGAACATCCCGCCAGCCACATGTGCATGCGTGCCCAAAATCCTGAGAGGGCGGTGGAGGAGAAGGGATGGTGGCATGGCCATTCCTCCCGAGGGGTGAGTTCTCACTTTCCCTCTCTCTGTCTGTCTCTCCAGTGAAGGCATGCATCCTATAGCAAAAAAAAAAAAAGAAAAAAAAAACAAAGAAAAAGTAAAGTATCACAGGAATAGTACATGGTACACACTGCATACGGGGCAGCACTGCGCAGGGCACACACCCACAGGAAGGTGACAGAGGCGTGGGGCATGCCCTCCACCTCGGTCACCCGCGGAGAGCTGCTGGCTCCTTCCATGCTCTTCCCGTGCATCTGGGACTTTCTTTGTTTTAACATAAAAGCCCATTTGCTGTTTCTTTTCTAAATAAGACTATGAAATTAAAACACACCTATCATAAACACTTCACATGTTACAGAGTGGTAAAAAGTGAAACAAAACCCCAACATTTTTCTTCCTATTTCTCCATTTCCACTCCCCAGAGAAAACAGATAAAATATGTTTCTGTTGGGACCAGCAGTTATCGTAATGGCTATGTCACTGGACTCCCATGTAGTAGACCATGGTTCAAGTCCCAGACTCGGTGGCTTAAACTCACGCCTGGCATGGGTGCATGCCTGCCCAAGATCCCAAGAGGAGAATGGAGGAGAAGGGATTGCGGTGTGGCCATCCCCCCTGGGGGGCGATTTCTTCGTTTTCTCTCTCTGTCTTTCTGGCAAGTGCATGCGCACTATAGCAAAAACCTCTCCCCCCTCCAAAAAAAACCTTTCTGTATCCTTTTAGAAATAATTATGTGTATACAAGCAATTAAACACAGACTTTTTTTTTTTTTTAAGTTTTGCTACAGGGTGTGTACACTTGCCAGAGAGAGACAGAGAAAGGGATAGTGAGAAATCTTCCCCCAGGGGAATGGCTATACTGCAATCATGTCTGGCGTGGTTTTCAAGCTGCCAGGCCTGGGTCTCGAACCACAGAGTGATCTGTGTGGGAGCCAGCACCTTAACCTCCTCGCCACCTGCTGGCCCTAAACACATCTCTCTTTAATACGTTCAGTTTATAAGTGAGGTCAGAGAGGTCAAACAATATAGCCAAGGTCACAGAGCTCAGCTTCTCTGAAAGGCTTTCCCCCTGCACACCTCGAAGGTGTATGCCCAGAGCAGGCTCAGCTACTCCCTCCCTGCCCTTGACCTTGTACAAGACAGGCGTCAGCTCCCTCCCACCAGCTCCCTGGCTCTCGGGGTATAAGTAGACTGCCTGTACTGCTCATGGCGGCTGCTGTCTCTGGAGCTGCCATCAGCGGGCTGGCTCTGTGCTTTTGTTCTCCAAATTGCAGATGACAATTCCAGGCAGGGGACCCTCCCGGGATAATCCCGTTGCAGTGATCCCTTGGCCTGTGGAGCTGACACCTCTAGGCCCACTCGCCTTGCTCTTTGCTGGGTTGTGGGCCATGGGCCTGACGTTGGGACGCTCCCAGTCGGTGGGGAGGACAGGCACGCACACGGCGATCCGCCCTTTGTCTGTAGCTAGCATGCATGCCCCCTCTTCTCTGTGTCTGCCTTATCCGACTTGGGCCCAGATGTGTGTCTACAGCATTGCCAACATCTGGATGAGAGGGGAAGAGTCGGCCGGCCACACGGATGCGTTTCTTACTCGCTGGCAGCAGGAGGGCGTCCATCTGGATGTCTGAGGAACATTCCAGATGGACAGACCCAGTGTGCTGTGTGCCCTCACCAACTGGACCCGCAACCCTGGACGAGAGGTCTACTGAGGGCTGAGCCGGACCTCCCTGAGCCAGGCTGTGCAGCTCAGCCCAACCTTGCAGCTGGAACCCTGCTGCAAAGGGAGAGGGGGAAGCCCAGAGAGTCCTGGGGGGAGAGGGAGCCAGAGACCAGCAGCTACAGAGCCTTAGATCTCAGAAATGAACTCTCTTGACTTTCCGGGTCTACCTGAGACTGAGCCTGGAGGTGCTGCCCTTCATGGGGAGCTCTGGAGCTGGGCGTAGCCTCCCCTGCCCCTTCCCTTCTCTGCTGCCCACCAACTTCCCTGCAAAGCAAACCCTCTAAGATCCCTGGTTCCGCAGCGCCCCCTGGTGGGTAACTGACCTGGAGAAAGCCTTAGGGCACAGATACACTGTCCTAGGTGAGCCCTGCAGACTGCAGGGACTACAACTCACCTTCAATTCATCCACCTGCTCCACCCACTAAGTGATAGGGCTTCTGAATGAACAGCTGCTCGTATGCACGGGCAGGAGACTGATGGAGCTCTGGATGGAGACAGCAAAGGACCGAGGACAGCCTGGGTGTGTCAGGATGTCGGACAGAGACTGGATGAAATGGCACGTGCTGACCGTGGAGGTGATGACGACGGCGTGTGTGTGCCTGTGCGTGAAAGCCCGTGCTGAACC